GTGTCTGGCTTTGCGAGGAAATATATGTTTTTCTGTAGCAGATCTCAATTGAGGGAACACAGTATTTTTTTAGAACTATATTTGTTTAACAAAAAGGAGTACAAACCTCAGATAATTCACAGAAAGAAATTTCACGTAATAAATCGGCGTTAACATCGGAACTAGCTCGTTAACCCCTTGGCTTATGATTTCTTTCTCAACTCTGATCGATACGGCTACTTTGTCATTAATTATTTGTTGGGAAAAGAGAAAAATTCTAAGCATATGTTATGCTTATACTTCCTTTCAAGTATAATAGTTGATTACATAGGAATAATATTTACTTTGAATTCGAATGAACTGAGTAATATATATTTGTTGAATCACGTTGAAAATCTTCACCACGAATCTCGCTCGTTGTAGGGCAAGGGGTTAATTAGCATGTTCATTCGTATTCCTCGGCGCGAGTATATAAGCGTGTGAACGAGCAAAGGTTAATACAAAATGTCGCACTTCAACCACCTGTAAGAATCGAATTAATTTGCATTTCAATTCCAATGAAATAAGAGACTGATCATTCGACACGATTAAAACTTGAAACGCCAAGTTCGATAATCGAGTAACAATTCTCTTCGGCGCAATCTTCCGGCAGCTTCGGAAAAACACGCAACTCGTCGGGTTCCCCGTAAAAAGTGTGCATTTCACTCGCATAATTTGCATGCGCCCGCCCGAGCAAAACACGCAAGTATCTTTCCGACGTATCATTGCCTCCGCAGCCCGCGAACCAATAAGCTGCGGAAGCCACGGCGGTGTCAAGCGGGTAATCCAAAGACGAATTTACAGTTGACCGTTTCTTGCGATCGCTGTACTCGCGCGCTTGCGTCGTGGTTGCACGTAACCCGTCCCCCGTTTGTTTATGCCTGTAATCTTGCAAAAAAGCCGGCAGATCGTAAACTGTATCCCCCCAGAAGAAAGTTTCCGCCACGCGAAACTTCCGCGAACCTGGAAGTTCGGGGCTGGAACAAAAACGCGGCAACTTTTTCCCTCGTGGCTGGTCTAATAGCATGAAGTAATTTCTTCTCCTCTACTTATTTACTCTATCGCAATCAGAAAACCGTATCTAGCCGGGAAACTTCTGCTCGCTTCTCCTCGAAAAGAATCTGCCGGCGGGAGGAACTACTCGAAAAAGGGGGATGAAAGTCAGGTGGCCGTGGCGGAGGAGGGGAGGGGGAACCGAGAAGACGTTCCGCGACTCCGAAAGTTCGGGACGGTGTTCTCGGGAGCATCCATAACCGAAATGCCAACTGATTCTTGCAAACCAGAAACTGTGACCCGTCTCTTTCTTCGCCGGTCCCGGGGCTTGTTGTAAACTCCGCTCGCAACGAGGAAGTATTTTCTAACGGACGGAGAGTGGGATTGAAACCCGACAACCGACCGGGAAAGCAATTTTCTCGCGGAAATGGAACTTAATCCGACCCGATGTTCGTTGCTTTAAGGTTTTCGCGATCGGCCTTAATGACGCCCGGCCCTTCTCCTTCGCCGCGAGTCACGATTGGCCGAATTATCTGAAACGAATGAAATAATGAAATTGTGATTGGGTTATTGTATGTGTTATACTCCCTTGAACGTATTTAACTTATGTGGTATGAATGGTACTTAAATATGTTTTATTTTTAAAAAACATAGGAATAGATAATTGAATAAAATACAAATAAGTAGAAACGATATAGCTAGTGTACAGGTCTTTTCTCTTCTCAAGTCAACGCATCTCTCTAAAAACTCTCGCCGTCACTTAAAAATCATTCTCTCCCTCACAAGCATTCTTCTTACTCACTTCCAACAAATTCTCAAACACCCCACTCTCACCACTACGCACTCATCATCCTCGCTTACGCACCTTCGGAAAAACCCACCAACCCTTGGGCCTGCTCTCCATGAGTCCCTTTCTCTTTTATGGCCTTTAGAACACTCGCTGTCCCAATTAAAACTACTACATATAACTATATCTGCGAGGTGAGAATTGTATATCTAGCTGAGGAAGATGTGTGGAATATTTCTTTCTTATAATTAGTAAATGTAACGCAGAGTGTATTGAAAATTATTTGTTTAGTGAGGATCTGTCTACTACATATAACTATATCTGCGAGGTGAGAATTGTATATCTAGCTGAGGAAGATGTGTGGAATATTTCTTTCTTATAATTAGTAAATGCAACGCAGAGTGTGTTGAAAATTATTTGTTTAGTGAGGATCTGTCTTATTGTAATTTATTACGCGAAGTATTCTATCGAACAATGTACAACGTAGCTCCTAAAGCTATTTACATTGAATAGATTCTTATTCTACTACTGCGCTTCGTTAGGGATTTGTAATAATTATAATCTGCAGTTTCAATTTCGCTCTGAAGATAATGTTGTACAATAAAGCAAATTGACAAGAGAAAACGAAATCTGTGGGTACATGTATGTTCGTGCTTTTTTATTCAAGTACAGAATTCCAGCTTCGCAGAAGCAGAATAAAAATGTTTATAGGAGAACTGTATAAATGGAATACAATTGCCGGCCGATTGTATCGACAAACGCTCAAGGTGCAAAGGATTAATTACTCCTCGGGACGCGTTTGCAGGGCGAAAGGGCGTACGAACTAATCTGAAGTCGAACGGGAGAAAACGCGATTGGTGTACGTCGCGGCGGAAACGAATTGACCCGCCCCGTTGATAGGAATTCCCAATGAATTATGAATACGCTGGCTGGCAGTGCGTGGTCGTCAAAAGGCTTCTTTTAATGCTGTCATTTATTTTATCGGGGCCGAAGTAAAAACCTTACCCGGCGTTACAGCGTGGATATGAAGCGGCCGGATTTTTCCCGGAAAATCGATATTTATTCAGCACGGTCCGAGGAGCACAATCGCGGGAATAAATTCCAATTTATCGAGTTCCATATTTGATACGACGTATTCAAACGGGTAAATAGCGAACGTGAGTAATATCGCCGCAAAAATCTGCGCGCAATTACACTGTCGTAAATCGTCTGGTAATAATAAATCTGAAACGGGCAAATATTGAACATTAAGGGATTCATGAGGGACGAAGGAAAAAAATGGAAAAAGAGGGAGAGAGAGAGAGGGAGAGAGAGAGAGATGCAGCTATCGCGAGCAGAATCAAGTGGAACGAGTAAATGAATGCTGCGAGAATGAAGTTGCAACGTCGCCGTGTCGCTCCGAGACGTACTTTAAATTAATCAAGTAACATCTGAGTTGCAAAAAAGGTTCAGGGCCCCGGGGATATCAAAGGAGGACTGGCTCAAGAGGCAATTTTAACGGTTCTTTGCGATTCGAGAGAAGCACACTCCCGCAGGACGAAGGACTGCCAACGTTGACGTTCGTGAGATTTTGATTTCACTCCGGACGGGCTAAGATTGGAGAGTAACGATTAACAAATCGGATGAAACGACACTTTCACCGTGAGATTTTCAACCGTCGCGCTGGAAAATACGGGACGACGAGACGTCGAATGATTTAACGAGCTAAGGACCGCGACGGTAGTCTACGATCGATGTTATTAACGAAGCGTTCCACCGTGGACGGCGATTTCTTTGATATTCATTTATCATCCGTTGGGACGTACGATCGTATGACGAGTTTAAACGAAATGTGAGGATTCTTGAAACGTAATTGTGACCTACATGAAGTTACTCGATGTTTAAGTTTCTCTTCGCGAAGATTGCGCACAGGTAAAAACTTTGTCAGGTAACCTTTGGGAGACGTCTGCATTTTCAGAGGTCACTGAATGATCGGTAGTAGTGAAATATTCTGAATTCTCGTTCTTCAACGAGTCAATGAATAATGCGATAGTGCATCGAATGGCTTTAATCATAAAGCGAACTGCGTCTTCTCGCAGCATGCAATTTCAGTGGCCGGATGTTTCGCAGGTAGACTCGATCTGGTCCGCGGCATGACTGAAAATTCGCTCCGGGCGACGGAGCGTAGTCAAGCCCGGAAAACTTGAAACATTGCACGTGCCGTTCCCAGCTGATATTACACCGAGTGCAGTCGTTTCATCTTGTAACGGCGAGTTATCCTGCCAGGGACGCGGCAATTCCGCCCAAAAGGGCTCGTATCCCGAAGAAATTGAATTACGCGCACCTGACGTGTCCATCGTGATCGAGGCCGCGGCCAAATCCGCTCCGAGAGACAGGCGTTTCGTAAATCCCCCGAGGGGGACGGCTAAGCGATGCGTTACTGCCTCATGAATTCCACTGGCATCGCGATAATTACGTGACTCGAGAAAACTGAGGAGAATTTTTGTCGATAGCGGCTGGTTCGTTGCTGTCGAAGCACTGTGTAAAATATGGAAATCTTTGAAACATAGAAAAAGAATATTCTTGGTCGTCCAAATGATGTAGACTGTTTCAAAGTACAAAACCATCGTAATCATATATATTTCTAATGCAATTATCAAACGAAAAATATTTTATTATTCCACAAATCTGCTTTCGGACACCCTACATATACGAGATATCAGCTTCTATATTTCGAATGAATTAGATTAATGAATCATATATTCTAGTATTTTTATATACTGATATTCAACGTTATTAACTAACCACACACAATTCTTTCTCCCGACTAATTATCGTAATCAAATACACCGATTTTGTATTCAATGTTTATAGGAAAATATTTAACACGTCACACAACATACAAAATCAAATAAGCACAATGTTAAATCATTCGATTAAATTTCGTTATTATTGTTTCGTGTTTATCTTGCTGAATTTCACCATTCATAGCGTTATTTACGATACGGAAATGTTTAAAAACAATCATCGTTTAATTGCGTGAATTGTAATTTGATTGGGAGTCACTGTAGTATTCAACGTGTATCACCCTATCTTTTACTTTTATTATTATTTTCCGCTGTTCACTTTTACTTTTCCCTCTACAATTAAAACGATACGGTTCATCCGTTACATTACCGGTTGACGCAGCACCTTGACCACTCTAGTTGTTTGTTGATTTCAGAAGATGGGCTCGGTCCACGGCGAGGAACTACCGTTCGTTTTCGGCGCGCCGCTGGTGGAAGGTTTCGGCCACTTTCCGGGGAACTATACCAGGTCTGAAGTGGCTCTCTCGGAGAGCATCGTGCAGTACTTCGCAAACTTCGTCAGAACTGGGTGAGTAGAGGACGATCTTGATCGGCTGTTGAAGCACTCCTTACTCCGACCGGCCCTCCTTTCTTTCTGGATCTTAGACTGGTTATTGAAGGACGCTCCACGTCTTCCGTGACGGTGTTCCTCTAAACGAGTACGCGGCCATGGTTTATCTTATAAACGAACCCGCAGGGAACTTCAAACTCGGTGAATTTACATTTCATAAATTCGGAATCGAATTACACGTCGAAACTCTGGAATCATTTTTAGAGCTGGCAAATCCAACGATGTTCTTGTGATAACTATTTCCGATATGATTTAACTATGAAAAATTGTGCATGATAGAAACATTTTATTTTTATCAAGGAAAACAGCATGTTTCCATGGTTCATACATTTTGTTAAACGAATATTAATTAAAAGTAATATATCGACTACTACGTATTATGCCAATTTATTCTCAATTACTATCTGTACAAATTTGTCGCATGTAGAAATATGTTACTTTAGTTGCATGACGAATGTAGCTCGTCACTGTACGGTTTCGCACGAAAATTTAATGACGAGCTGTACTCGTCATTTATCGCGAGAGGTTTACAAGCTTCGGTAAACACTGTTCTAACTCCTAAAGCATTCGCTCTGAATAAGATTTGTTAATTTTAGAACCTCACATTGCTGAATATTATTTTGCTGAAAACATCTGCGAGTGGTTCTCCGGGTAATAAGGAGAAAATGAAACGAGGTCACTAGATACCATCAGCTATTACCAAACTCCACTTCTAAATACGACACAACAACGTCGCGAATTTATTATTTCGCCCTAAGCGCAATCTTGACCGACGAAAGTGTCTCCGCGTCCCCGAGATAAACTCGTATCAGTGTCGCAGCCTCGTTCCCCGCGAATCCATTCTCCGCGAGTTCGCGGCGTCCCGTGAATTTCAATTTTCGCCCGAGAGTACCCGACAAACCAATCCGTTCCCCTTTGAATCAACAAGAACGCGGCGTCGCGAGCCGGGGCGCCACTTGTGCGGAATCAATTTGCAAACCGCGGGAACGCGACTGCGAGACAGGGACGCTAAACGAACGAACGAGGCGAACCGACGGATAGAGCGAGAGGAAACGAGGCGGGCCGGGGAAAAACGAAATCGCCGCCGCGGAAAGGTCTAATTTTCCATATTCATGAACGGAGCACACAGGAGGTTCAGAAGGGGTCGCTGGTAAGAGTACGTCCGCTGGACACGGAAACAGAGGGGGGATTAGATCGAAAATATTTTCCGAATACGTAAAACGGTCGCGCGGAATTTCTGATCGAGTCGACGGTATTCAAATTTGCGGATTTGGACGGAGGAAAGAGGCACGGTGGATCTTTGATAGGTTTAGTTCAGGTTATGGAGACTAGGTGGAAAGTTAACAATTTGCACTCGAAAGTGCACTGGAAATATTTAACAGAACTACCGAGCATTTAATATGATTAATATGTAATTCTTATAAAAATTGTGACAATAGATTATTTTCAGTTTCTTCAGACATTCATAATAGCACTCAAATGAAACTATTTGTTTTCAAAATCATTTCGAATATTCGATGCTTCGAATATATCAATAATTGCTAAGCAAAAAAATCGAAACCAGTCATTTTGACTAGGGCGGTAGTTCTAGTGTTAGAAAACATTCGGAGAACATACCATAGTTAGGGATTGAAATAGTGAAATATTTAGAATGCATCGAATTTCCTTTAACAATAGAACTACGGAGCATTTAATACGATTAATATGCAATTCCTATAAAAATTGTAACAATAGATTATTTTCAGTTTCTTCAGACATTCATTATAGTACTAAAATGAAACTATTTATTTTCAAAATCATTTCGAATATTCGATGCTTCGAAGATATCAATAATTGCTAAACAAAAAGATCGAAGCCAGTCATTTTGACTGGTACAGTAATTCTAGTGTTAACATTTTCCAACGAGATACAGACGACACTGTTTGAAACTAATTTAACGATAATTCACAGATAAATTGAGCGACAAAGTAATTTTATTTAAGTGTTTCCTATAGCTATACAAAGTTTCATTTAAAATACTGAATATTCAATGTTATAATTTTGCTGTGTCAAATCAAGTGGTGACCTCGCGTCACCTCTCGCGTGCAAGGGGTTAAAAATAGGTTTGAGGAATAAAATTTTACACATATCGAATTTTATAGAGTACATTAGGTTGATTTGTAAGGTATTTATTTGATGGTTTATTAACTCTTTGCACTCGAAACTTTTTGACTGGAAATATTCAACATTTTCCGACGAGATTTTATTTAAATATTTCGTGTAACAATGCAGAGTTTAATTTGAAATACTAAATACTCAACTTCATAGTTTTGCTGTATTTAATCTAGTGGTGACAGAGTCACCTCTCGAGTGCAAAGGGTTAAATAATGTCGACTTTGATGTATGCAATTATATGAATGTGGATCCTAATTATACATTTTTAAACGTGTAATGATAGAATTAATTGTACAATAAATGTCCGTAACCTTAGTACTAAATGCGAAATATTTCGACATAATTCCACAGTTACCAACGAGAAGAGGAACAAGGAATTTCGTGATATTTTGTTCAACCTCGTTCGAGTAACCGACACTTTAATTTTCTTTGACCCGCCGGGCATTAATATATAAATTTAATTAACGGACCTCCAAAAACAGTGGATGACTTTTGTCCATGGAATTTCGCTCAGAAGCGTTTAAAGCCATCAAGTTAAATTTCCAATTATTATGTACGAGTGTTCATAAATGATCGATACACTTGCGATTCGTTACATTGTGGTTTGTCTCGCAGCTGCGCAGTCGCGGCCGGTGTCGTTTCAATGACAAATTCGGAATTAATTTGTTATTTCATACTCGATCACGCGAAGCCATTTCTCTGCCGCTGAACTGCTTTCGATGTATCCAACAAATGCTGGATTCAAGCTGGAAATAGATAATGCAGTGACGTACCGTCAATTTTTGATCTTCGTGCCATTCGATCTCCACGGGAACGGTAAAAATATATCAATCATTCGTTGACACAGTGTACGTAAACTGGTCAGGCGTCGAGTACGATGCGCAGAGATACGGGCACACACGGGCGCATCGTTTCCCGCGGAAACGATTTCCCTTGGAAATTTTGTCATTGACTTCCCGCGGCTCTTTCTGTTTCCCAGTATTCCCGGTGTCGTGTTTTCACGGCTGAATTATATTTTATTAATTATCGAGCCCCGAATCTCGAACCGGCGGAAATTCATTCGACCCGATGGACCGGTGAAAGTGAAAGAGGAAAAAAAAGATAGCGAACCGATGAATATTCCGGAACGGAAAAAACACAACGCCATGAAATATTCATTAACGTAAACGAAAAGTTTTGTCTGGTCATCAAACACGCGTTTACGCGGCACGAATGTTTCACCGCGAAACGCTCGCCGGTTGAAATTGAACCGCTTGATTTGCATCGCGTCTGTCCGGCTTACAGACGTCCCTCCGTTTTTCATATTTTATCGAAATGATGTCGCGAAACGCGGACCGCCGTTCGCGTTGGTTTCCCTCGTCAGGAAATATTTTCCCCGGCGCATACTTGTTTCATACAATTTTGTCGGGATACTTTTTGCCGGTCCGCTTTCAAAAATATACGCGAGCCGAGGTTAATTAGCAGGTGCCCCCTAGGCGAAACGACGAAAAACGCGAAGAAAACGAAACGCGAGAGAAATTTTAAGATATTTCAATAGCGCTTCGAGCGTGATATTTGAAAATTATGTTGATTCGTGCAATCTATAAAAATGTGTGCTCGGAGTTGAAGAGAATGTAGAAACGTATCAAGAACGTGCTTTGAAGCTTTATAAATACCAAACGCCAAAGAGAAAACTTGTATTCCACACGTATATATAAATGTTCTCAAATATAAACAAAAAATTTTTACAAAACTACAGATAATGTTCCATTTTCTAGGCTAAAAGTCTCAAGTATCACCTGTCCACTATATTTTAAATAAAGCAACCATTTGAAACATTGTTTACCTTATAACAAAACATACAATCATAATGGTAACGCTAGGGCGAACGTCCATTGTACAATTACAAATAGAAATGAAAGCTTTAAAAATAGGCAATTAACACATTGAACGCCGGCTAAATTTCAGCTACTAGAAACGGGTCGGTGATTATATTCCTATATTTTTAAACATCAATCAATCCGAAATTTGTAACTTGCGAAGAAGAATAAGGAATTCGATTATTTAATTAAACGGTAGACTGAAAATCCCGTATTATCGCGGTTCCAACGCGCAATATGTTAAGCCACATATTTGATCATTCAAAATCGTAAACATTTGCCAAGTAATAAAATATTTCAACGTATTAACCAAATACTCCGAAATTCACCGAACAGCGTTCCCCAACCCCCGTGTCGAGGTCTAAAAAAAAAATTAATTCTCCGAAATCCCGCGTCGACGATAGAATTCCAGCGGATTAAGCGGCGGGACAAACTGAGTTTACCCGCCGTTCAAGATGTAGATCGTCGTAGTTTCAACGTTGGTCACGGAGCCCGCGCGGAATTGCCGGCTCGTCCGGTTCGAGGGCCGGATATCGCGTCTAAGTATCGAGCGGGAACTAATCGCGTAGCTGGATCACGCTCGTCCCGCGCGTTTCCCGCGGCAAGAAGGCGGCACAATAACAAGTAATTTCGGTTGCGGGTTCAGACACAGCCACGTACACGAAGATATTACGTGATACCGGGCGCGGCACGGTCCCCGTCTACGATTCCGCTACGTGACGCCCTACGTGCCACGGAAAACCGGGAGCCGTTTGCGGCGAATAATTCATCGGAGCAGTTCGCCGCCGCGGAAAGCCGAGCAATACCGATAACTGTTTCACCAGTGGATCGAAGGGGCGAGAGGAAAATTGGATTCATCGCGCGCGAATTTGAAAGCGACAAGCTTCCTCGACGGAAAAATTACCGAAGCTATTAGCGGCTGACGGTCCGCTTAATGTACTCCGC